GGAGTGGAATTGCTGGGCCATATGGCAACTCTGTGTTTACTTTCTGAGGAACTGCCAGATTTCTCCTGAGCTGCCGCACCACTTCACACTCCTCCGAGAGATGTATGAGGGTCCCAATTTCTCCATGCCCTGGCCAACGTTTGTTCTTTGTTTTTGTTTTAATTATGCCTATCCTTATAGGTGTGAAGAGGTATCTCGTGGTTTTGATTTGCAGCTCTTTAATGATGTGGAGAATCATTTCATGGGTCTGTTGGTTATTTGTAAATCTTACTTGGAGAAATGTTCAAGTCTTTTGCTCATTTTTTAATGGTGTTTTTTGTTGTTGAGTTTTAGGAGTTCCTTACATATTTTTGGATACTAGACTCTTATCAGGTAATGTGATTCGCAGTTATTTCTCCCATTTTCTTAAGTTTCCTTTTCACTTTCTGGATAATGTTCTCATTTTTTTTCACTTCACATTTGGAAGAAACTACAAATGGGGAAGCAGTACAAAGCAGTTTCTTGTGTATCCTTTTAGTGACAATCTGTGCGTGCACATGCAAATGCAATGTCTATTCTCTCCTCCTCTCCCTTTTACATAAATGGTACTTTTTCACTGAATGTGTCTTGTTAGTTCTATTTCAGTATGTGTACATCTGCCTCAGTCTTGCTAACTGGTGTGCACTGTCCTACTGTACAGATATCTCATAGTTTATTTAGTAAGGACCCTCTTGTGCACACTTGAGTTGTGACTTTTTTTTAAATTTTTTTTTTTTTTTTAAATTTTATCTATTTGAGAGAGAGAGAGAAATCACAGGTAGGCAGAGAGGCAGGCAGAGAGAGAGAGAGGGGAGGAAGCAGGCTCCCTGCAGAGCAGAGAGCCCGATGCGGGGCTCGATCCCAGGACCCTGGGATCATGACCTGAGCCGAAGGCAGAGGCTTTAACCCACTGAGCCACCCAGGCGCCCCTGAGTTGTGACTTTTGACTGTTACAGATACACACAAGTTAGTATAAATACAAGCTAGTTTATCTTTAGGATAGATATCAAGAAGTGGAAATTGTCATTTATTAAGTATGGTTTTATTCATATTTGGAGGTTGTTTCCGAAGCATTAAGAATCTGCTAAATTAATAAAAAATATGTTGGTTAGTATTTTTTAATGTCAAACTTTATATATAGTGTATGTGATTTTCTTTTTTTTTTCTAGGAGTTAAGAATAGCAGAACCAGCCTTAACACAAGGCTCTGTACTGGGTAGGCCTTCTTTTCACGCCTCTTTCACAGGGTTTTCCCTTCGAATCTTCCTCAGAAGCAGTTGTTCTTAGCTAGGAAAGAGTTTCTCATCATGCTGGCTTTTCTAGTGTTAAATTTTAACACTTTGCTGGTTGTGGAAAGAAAAGCATAACATGACTTAGGAGTGGAAAGAAACTTCTGAGCTAACAAATCCTGTTTTTAAAGTGACAAAAAAGAACTGAGAAGAAATCTGCCCTGATTTCATGCAGTGCTTGTCTGTCCAGAGAAACAAAGCCTCTTGTTTCCCAGAACAAGGTTCTCCATGCTCACAACAGTGTCTTGCCTCATTCTTGTTAAAGACCTTGAAAATGCCACTACATCTGCCTAGGTAGTGGTTCTGGGGTAGCAGCAGAACTGTGACCACATCTCTGACGCTAAAATAAATCACATGACTATTTCACCAACTACGATGTCAAGCCCTATGTCTAGGGCCTCTTACCAATATGTGTTAATTAAAATTTTGTTTTCTTGATTTAAAAATTGATCTATCAACCACCATAAACTAAAAGCATAGAGAGTAAGTGGATTTGATATTAGAGGTGAATCTTTTTCTCTAAGTTGATAATAACTTTATGAGAGTAGGCTTTATTTTTTTGATCTCTCTGATTATCCCTACACCTTGGGCAAGGGAAAGTAAAGCACAGAAATTAAGCAATAAGATAACCCATCTGTAAAGGAATCTGTTGGGGTTTTTTTGAATCTGTATTTTTCATGAGTAAACATTTATTTACCCCTTTGAAAACACCTGCCCTTTATGAAGAGGGTACCACGTTAACACTTGAAAGAGGTATTGTCTTCTAGGAGCATAAGTTGTATTTGGTAAGATAGAACATTCCAGACACTGTTGTTATTCTGCCCTGAGTTTTCAATTTAATGTTCAGTTAATTTAGATAAAGTATTTTGATTAGAATTCTGATCCTTCTGTATGAAGGAATACATATTCCACTAGAAACTAACCAAAGATGGTACCAGGGCTTCGGATACATTTATCATGAACTTAAAGCAAGATACCATCAAGAAGTAATCCACTTAGAAGATGACAGCGTACTTTATAGTAGTGGTAGTTCTAAGAACCTAATGTCATATATACATATATTTTAACATAGCATCTTGGCACCAGTATTTGGCTTTAGTTCTGGGAAAAGTCACTGATAGCCACTGGATAACTGTCCTAAGAGTTCTAAGAAACTGAGCAATGTGAGAATCAAGGCTTAGTGTATAGTAAGTTTGGACTGGGTTTCTATCCTTGAGGGTAAAACGAGCACACTTAGAATGCACACTTTGGGGATCAATTAAATCCCTGAACATAAGAGAAAAATGTCACAACTTTACTGACATTTATAGTGGACACTTGTGGCATGCTATCCAGGGATATCCTCTCTCCCCCACCCCTCACCCCCATGAAGTAGTCACTTCCCCAGCTTCTGGGAATGTTGGCTGATGGCCCTGAGCTGAGATCCTCTCCAGTTATTTTCTTTCCCCTAAAGTCAGGCCCCTCAGGTCACAGGACTAATCTCCTCCACCGCGATATAAAGTCCCACCCCCTTGCCTTAATAGGCCCAAATGCAGGGCCCTTCTAGCTCTCAGTTCTCAGAGGACTTTCATAACTGCATCCCAGCCCAACTTCCCCCTCCTTCCCAGTCTTGCTACTTTTTACCTCCTCAGAGATGTCGATCTGAAAGCATTCCCATTTAAACTTTGCACCCTAACCTCCACATCTATTTCCCCAGGGAACTTAGCCTGAGACAACATTTGAAACCCAAAGCCAAAAAAAAAAAAAAAAATCACTTGATTTTTCACTGAAACCACCCAACTATTCCAGATGAATTTTTCTTGCCTTTTATTTTCTTCTATTAAAACAACAAAAAATTACCTTCAACCTTTTCTGATTCTTATTATGAACATGTAAAACCACCAATTTATGCTTGCTTCACTTCACTGGTAGCGCATCCAGGCATCTTGAAGCTCCCCATCTCCACCCCATCCCACCTGTCTCCATCTATACCAACAATCATTTTAATATCTGTCCTCCAAAGTCAAGGATATTAAAGTAAAGGAGCTGAACTCAATTAAAATACTTCTAAAAGGCGGGCGCCTGGGTGGCTCAGTGGGTTAAAGCCTCTGCCTTCAGCTCAGGTCATTATCCCACAGTTCTGGGATCTCGGGCTCTCTGCTCAGCAGGGAGCCTGTTTCTCTTCCTCTCTGCCTCTCTGCCTACTTGTGATCTCTGTCAAATAAATAAATAAATAATCTTAAAAAAAAAAAAATACTTCTAAAAGGGACCCCTGGGTGACTCAGCCGTTAAGCGTCTGCCTTCAGCTCAGGTCATGATCCCAGCATTCTGGGATCGAGACCCACATGCGGTTCCCTACTCCGTGGGAAGCCTGCTTCTCTCTTTCCCACTCCCCTTGCTTGTGTTCCCTCTCTCACTGTGTCTCTGTCAAATAAATAAAATATTTAAAAAAAAAAACCAACAAAAAAAACTAACAACATACCTGAACGGGACTGGCCTTTCATTACAGCGTTGATGATACTGCACGGCTCCTCCTTCACTTGTTTTCAAAGACCTTCCATGTTCATGGCACACTACTGGTATTTTACGGATTTGCTAAGTTATGGGTATTTCTCTTTCATGTGCACATATAAGAACTGTGTTGAACCAGTACATCACAGAATGCTCAGAACTTTTAATTCGTAATTCATCTTTATTAAAGTAAAACCTCTAAAATATATGCAGAAAATAACGTATTGGGTATTTTCACATCTAAGATAGTCATTGAAAGGTTAAGAGGAAAAAGGTCTTGTTTCTAATGTTTTACAAAGGAAATCTATCTCTAGTACCAAATACCATACTGAGATTATAATATTCTTCTTATCTAAATTTGTTGAAGCTGTTAAGCTTGTACCTTGTTAAAAAAAAATGTGTGTGTAACTTCATTCATAAGGTCTGTCAAAGGTAATCATAAAACAACGAAGCAATCATTTACCCCAAAGACCAGTCCTCTCTAAATGGAATGTATCTTTTTCATTCAACACTATTTGGCACTGGCTACTGGGAGGCAGCCAGGGAAGAGGCACGGAACAGTCCTGGTTCTCCAGCGGGTTCCCCCTGCCCCGGTCTTCCAGAGAATCCAGTATAGAAGGAGTTTCTCCTCAGGAAGCTAACCTCCCATGAAGGGGTGAGATTTAAAACCGATTTCATTGTCACCCTATGCATTACAAAGAGGAGGGGAAAGTCTAAGCAAGAAACACTAGAACAACATTTGAAAAAGGGGAGTGCTAAGGGAAAACCTACAGCTTTTGAGGAAGATAGCCTGTGCACAGCACATGGAGAGCCAAGATTTTAGTTTTCAAAAAGTAGCTAAAATTTTATTTGCATTTAATCATTTGTTTATATACCTAAATCAGAAATTAAGCCAAAAAGCATGAAATGAGAACCTCCAAGAACTCATATCCTACTCTCAAATAACCAAAACTACTTAGCCCTAAATGGGCAGACAAAAAGTTCTCAAGAGCATTAACAGCTCAGGGGATATACATCAAGCCTCTTGCTTTATATTCACAAAATTAGAAAACTGGGCTAAACCTACATCTCAAATGCGTGTCAAATAATTTGCATGGGTTAACCTCCCAAAACAAGCTCGCTGCTTTAAAGACACACTTATACCAACCCTTCATTACATCATCAGGGAAACTGAATCAAGAGGGAACAGCATGGGACACAAATATCTCTCATAATCCTTTAATGGTAGCTGAATTTTTCAGAGTCAAATAGGACTGAAATGTCACAGCAATGGAACAAAATTCTGCTTTGTTTTAACCGTGTGCTTTGGCCCTTGAGAACCGTTGGTTAGACTTTTCGTTCAGTAATCCATTTCATTAAATATGGTTCAATTCCCAGTCAAAGACCTTCACTGGCACTCAATAACAACATTCTTATAAATTAAAGCCAACTATAAGTCCTCCCTCTGGTTTCTCTTCTGTGCTTTGTATATATGTACATCTTTTTCAGGATCATAGTGAACCTTACTCACAGTAAATTGCCTCTCCAACATCACTAAGAAGTTGTTGTCCCGTTCATAGCGAATTCGGCAAGCTAAAAGAACCACAGAGCGCTTGCTACTGAGATGTTCCAAAGTCTGAAGAAGATCTGCGAATGTTTCTTCTAAATATATGATATCAGCTCCAAGTATCAGGTCAAATTCTCCAGGTGAATAACTCCCCAAATTTTGTCCCCAGGTCAGCTCCTTAACAACAGCTTTGGGTTGGATATGGGGAGGTAAGTTGGCTTGAACATTTGACTTAAGAAATTCTAATGCTACTTTTCGGTCCGTGATAGTCACATGAGCACCTAGAATGTGGGACAGAAAGACAGTCATGTGCACATCAATACAATTAATAACTTGGCTGGGCGGGGGGCGGGGGAAGGGGGGGAGTTAAACAGCAGAGTGAGTGTCTCCAGTATTCTACCGCATAGCCAGAAGATCATGGCCTTCAGGGATGGCTGCAGAAGAGCAGAACAACAACCAGTAACTCCTTCCGCATTGCCTACTGGCAAAGGTGAATCTTTGATTTGCCTCTCTGACACGCCTGCAGGCAGAGCTGGCACACCCTGCACAGGTGTCTACACTACTTTCATTCATTCATTAGGTCATGATCTTCAAGTCAACAGACCTGAGGGTAAAATGGAATCCACAGAAGAAAAATTTAAGAGCAAATGATTATGAAGATGTCAAGATACCAAAAACAGGGAAAAGCGACTTTCTGGAGTCTAAGCTTTAAAAGAAATCAAGGGAGAGATTAACTGGCTATTATGAAATCCCAGTCCACATCTCCTGCTGTTAGGAAGAAGCATTATGTATTTTATGCATTTACGTATATATAAATTATATATTATATCATATATTTATATCATTTAATTATGTATTTATCAACTAAATTATGTATTTATCAATTTAAATTATATACTTATATCATTTCTGAAAAATGGTATACTTAGAGGAGTATATACAAATACTAGATTGTATCAAAGCACTATAGGTTAAAATGTGAGATCATGTTTCCTAAATGCTAAGTTTCTACGTGCGGTGTATACTGTCAATAAGGCAGTATTCTGTTCATGTTTCTTGTGAGTTATCTACCATGAACCAGTACGGCTGGGAGAAGACTGAGCTGGTAGTTCACTCTCACGGTGAAACAAGCACGTAAGGTCAGCCCTGAAACAGATCATCTGCGCTGCGGTAACAATACAGCATGCGTAGTCCTGTTCGGTTTGGGCCTAGTGAATTCTGAACACTGTAACACTAGGCTTCTTCTTTCACGGGATGACCTCTCCTCTGCACCCTTCTGTAGCTGGCATCGTCATGGGTAATTCCCCACGGGGCTCCAGACCAGCTACAGCAAACACCATTTCAGTGGCAGCTCGGACTGATGTTTCTTATCTTGGCCTGTGATGTTAGGACGGTGTGTAATTCGATCTGACATTGACGGTCCCAGGTGTGACACTGAAGACAGTGCTCAAGCTGCTGGGTTTTACAAGCGCTGCCACCCCTTGGACCATTCAGTGCGACACAGCGTGCTGCCTGATGAGCAGAATCCAGAGATACTGCTCATCTCTCCTGATGATAAGAAAATCACAGACAGCCTTTTCCTGGTTTAACTCAAAACTTTATCTCTGGCTTTCTTAACAGTCTGCATTTACAGGCAATCCTGGAGTGATCTAGTCTCCTGCATATCACCTCAGTGTTCATTTCAGTGCTTCTTACAGGCAGACCTTTTCAGTGCCTGTCTCAAGAGGTTTCTGAGGCTATGGCTAACCTAACCAGCTGGGGCTTCCAGGAGTTTTGGCAGGACCTTGATGTGAGTTGGCCACTCTCTCCTGTAACATCTGTCAACTGTACAAAGAGCCAAGTAGCTACCATCAGCCAGGAGACAAAAGCCCCTGCCCTCGTGGAACTTACATTCAAGTGAGGAGCCAGGCAGTAAGAGGGGTTTTTAAAATGAGAATAGCCAGTACGTCATTTGGAGATAGGTACTAGGGGGAAAATAGAGCAGGAAAGAGAGGTGTGAAATGTCCGCAAGTCAGGGAGGTGGGGCTGACATTTCAGATTGAACAAAAAGGGAAGGCCGTGTGTCGCAGCGGGACAGTCCTCCTGGCAGGCCGAAGACCATGTGCCAAGACCTCCGTGGGGGCAGGTGAGGAGACTGCTGTGGCAGGAATGATTGAAGGAGGAATGACTAGATGATGAGGTCGAACAAGTAACAGGCGGGAGGCAGAGGGCCTCGCAGGTCACGTTTCTGAGATGGGAAGCCGGTGGAGAGTGCTGAGCAGAAGCGCCAATGATTTCAGGCTTTAACAGAATTTCTAGAAGTAGGTCAAGACCAGAAACAAGGAGTTGCGTGAAGAGGTCACCACAATGACCCAGGTGAAGGAGGCGGATAGTTTGCTCCTTGCTATAACCACCCCAGGCCCCCACCCGAGGCCAGCTCCCGGTACACCTGCCCAGGAGCAGCCTCTCTCCCTGCACAGGGCAGCTCTGCCTGTGGTTTCCTTCTGGGTGTGTGTTTAGAGGGAGGGGCATGGAAGAGGTCTTAGATTTCTTTGAATCTACCAGTTTCCTTTGAATCTTTCTTCCCCTTGCAATTTAGGGAAGATATAGATCATTTGCCCTGTAGTTTCCCACAATCTGGATTTTGCTGATTGTACCATTATATAATTCAGCATGTCCCTGGCTCCTCTGTGTCTCCTATAAATTTGAGTTTAATGTTTTGAGCAAGACTATTTCAGAGGTGGTGGTGTGTTCTTCATCAAGAGGTATGTAGTAGGGGCGCCTGGGTGTCTCAGTGGGTTAAAGCCTCTGCCTTCGGCTCAGGTCATGATCTCAGGGTCCTGGGATTGAGCCCCACATTGGGCTCTCTGCTCAGCAGGGAGCCTGCTTCCTCCCTCTCTCTGCCTGCTTCTCTGCCTACTTGTGATCTCCGTCTCAAATAAGTAAAAAAAATCTTAAAAAAAAAAAAAAAAAAAAAGAGGTATGTAGCACTGGGTAGGCTCCATTTTTGTGATGTGAGCAGGCACAAATACTCAATGCCCAGATCTTTCATTCACTAAGTTCCTTTTGCATTTGTGTGTTGAGAAATTTCTATAAAGGGAGGTTTCTTTCAACTACTATTTGATTACTCATTTTGTATAGAACCTGAATAGGAAAGGCAGGATAAACTATGCTCCTCCCTCCCCTTTTATTTTATTTTTTAAATATTTTATTTATTTATTTATTTGACAGAGAGATAGCACAAGTAAGCAGAGCAGCAGGCAGAGGGAGAGAGAGAAGCAGGCTCTCCGCTGAGCAGGGAGCCCGATGCGGGGCTCGATCCCAGGACCCTGGAATCATGACCTGAGCCAAAGACAGCCGCTTGACCAACTGAGCCACCCAGGCACCCCTCCCTCCCCTTTTATACACCAGATTCCAAAGATCTGGTTTCGGAGCATCTTTGAAAGATGACTAATTGGGTTTATTTTGTTGGTGTTGTATCATGAACTCATGGATTAAACATTTGATATGTTTAAATCCAGTGCCACTATGAATATTGATGTTCAATTTGTCCTATCTTTTGCCAGTGGACTTTTGACACAACCCCATGTCATCCTTGTTAGCTTCCTTGCTAACAAGATATACCGGGGTCATCTTGCCCATTTCCTGCTACAGAAAATACATTTCCATTACACATTTCCATTACACATTCATTACACATGGTCAGGTGGAAAGAGAGAAGAAAAGTGAGGATGCAGGAGAGGGAAGAAGGAAGAGCGGGTTGGCCCATGCAGGGCAGACAGCGCATGTGAGGATGTCCCATGGAGGGCAAAGGCGGGGACACTGGGCCCAGACACGGGAGGGTTAGAGGCGGCAGGGGAGGCCACAGAAGCTCTCGTCTGCCTGCAGCAATCTCCTCGGTGAAAGAAGAAATGTCACCAGCTGGGAGTGTGGGCGGAGGACAGAGGAGATCAGCAGAGTAAGAGAGGAAGCAGAACGGGGCCGCTCAGTGGCATCACCCGCCCCCTGAGGTTCCTGACCCCCTCTGCAAAGCGAGGCCCAGCAGCGGCGTGTTCCTGCAGCCTGGCTATATGCAGCAGGCTATAGGGATACTGGCCCAGAATCAGCCGAGGGCTACCCTCTACCTGCTATTCAAGTGAGGAGAAGCAAGGGCAGGCAGAGTGCCCGTGGACGTGAAGATGGTGAAGAAATTACCCCCCCGAGGCTCTGCTGCGTGTGGAGGGCGCAGCAACACTTAGCTCATGACGGACTCATGAGAGCTGACCCAGCACGATCACATGTCCCACGGCCACTCACTCGGTAACGGAGAAAGAACACATAAACACCTACCATCACTTTAGCTGGTACTTTTATAAGCAACACCTTACTTTATTCGAACATGGGAGCACATGCTACGTACCAGAGACACAGAGATGAGCAAAACCACCCTTGGCCGCTAGGAGCTCAGGTTTAGGAGGAAGGGAAACACAGAGACACGACTGTGATGCGAGGTGGGGAGTAAAATATGGAAACGGGTTGCCAGGAAATGATGTGGTCACAACGGAGACCCTCTTCAAGAGAGGCAGAGGTCAGAGAAGAACTCGGAAGGAAGGCATCTGAACTTACACTGGGAAGATGTGACATTAACCAGGGGAAAGGGGTGATGAAAAGGCACTCAGGGCAGAAGGGACAGCCCAGAAGCCACGGGTGTGTCCCTGGAACCACAGACAATGCAGCCGCTCTGTAATAGGAGCCCAAATGGTCAGGCAAAATGGGGTAGAGCCTCATGAGTTTCAGGCCTTGGGGAGGCACAGGGCTTTCTTTTTGTTTTTTAACTAGGCTCCACACCCACTGTGGGGCTTGCACTCCAACCCTGGGATCGAGGAATGCTTCACCGACTGAGCCAGCCAGGTGGCCCGAGGCACAGGGGTGTTTAAGTCTGGGCCACCCCAGCACTTCTGCATGGAGAATGGGCCGCTCCAGCCTACTGGGAGGTGGGCCAGAGAAGACAAAGTGAGGCAGGGAGGTCAGCTGTGGGGATGCACCTGGCATCACAGGGAAGAAAGATGCTGAGAGCTCAGGCCAGGCTGGGGGGGGGGGGGGAGGGCATACAAAGGGAGAACTGGAATCAGGAAATTAGACAACAGATCAACAACAGGGGCACCTGTGTGGCTCAGAAGGTTAAAGCCTCTGCCTTGGGCTCAGGTCATGATCCCAGGGTCCTGGGATCAAGCCCCGTATCGGGCTTTCTGGTCAGCAGGGAGCCTGCTTCCTCCTCTCTCTCTGCCTGCCTCTCTGCCTACTTGTGATCTCTGTCTGTCCAATAAATTAATAAAATCTTTAAAAAAAAAAAATCAACAACAGGGCTCAGATCAACAGAGCTCGGGGAGGGAGGAAGGGCTGGGGGAGTGGGTCAAGCAGCTCCCTTGAGAGAGGACTTTGATGGCCACACTAACTCAGAACAAAAGAAAAAGATGCATTTGCAAAGAGAAGCAGAGCTCAAGTGTAAACACATGTTCTGTTTGAGATGCTGAGAAATAGTCAGGTAGAGACACCCATCCTTCAGTTAAACACACAGTGCAAAGCTTAGTGGAGACTTACACCAGAAGTACAGAAAACTAAAAGACAATGCTCTTCCCTGAGCATTATATTTTAAGACTGTTCCCCAGACTTGGTGGGCATCAAATCACCTCAAAAGCTTTTAAAATCCAGATTCCCTGAGCCCACCCCAATTTACAGAACCCTATCTTTAAAATGGGATACTTTTTTCTAAGAATAGTTTCTAGGCAGTACAAAGAGATTTTCAAAGCAAGAACCAGAGTTTAAGAGTCAGAACTAGATTCCAATTCTAACTCCACAATCCATGAGCTTCGTGACCTTGGGCAAGTTACCTAACCTCTACCAAGCCTTCATTTCACCACTGAAGAGAGCTCCAACTGGACCCACCCACCACACAGGGGCAAGCTGAGAAGGACAGACTAAAGACCTGGGACCTGGGAACTGCCTAGTAATTAACAGGTGTTTTTATTCTTTTAACAGGAAAATCTCATCACTCATTATTAAAGTTCTGCAGAAAACTCACCAGGGCTTTTTTGGGTGTTCCCTGAATTCAGGAATAAATGACTCAGGATACGAAAAACAAAAATACTTTAAAAAGGAGAATGATTGGGGCACCTGGGTGGCTCAGTGGGTTAAAGCCTCTGCCTTTGGCTCAGGTCATGATCCCAGGATCCTGGGATCGAGCCCCGCATGGCATCAGGCTCTCTGCTCAGCAGGAAGCCTGCTTCCTCCTCTCTCTCTGCCTGCCTCTCTGCCTATTTGAGATCTCTTTCTGTCAAATAAATAAATAAAATCTTTTAAAAATAAATAAATAAATAAATAAAAGGGGAATGATCAACCTCTTACATTTCAAAATCACTACCTATTCTGTTCTCACTGCCTCCTTTCTAAAGAGACTTTTTCTTTAGTCTCAGGTTTCAACCTCAAAACTAACACCTAATACTTTGCAGCCACAACAAAAAAAGGGTATGCAAATCACATAGCACAGAGAGGTATGCACGATGTAATGTTAAATGAGACATATGTGTGTGTGTATATACATATGTATGTGTGCACACACATACACACACACTCTGTAACAGTGAATTACAGCTATGATTAAAAATACAGGTGGAGGTGGAGGCACCTGGATGGCTCAGTCAGTTAAGCATATGCCTTAGGCGCATGATCCAGGGGTTCTAGGATGGAACCCTGCATCAGGCTCCCTGCTCGATGGGGAGTCTGCTTCTCCCTCTCCTCCCTGCTCATGCTCTCTCTCTCAAATAAATAAAATCTTAAAAAAAAAAAAAAAAAAAAAAAAAAAAAAGATACAGGGGGAGGAAAAGGAATGGAAGGAAATATACCAAAATGGCAACAGTATGTATGTTGCAGAGTCATGAATAATTAGGACGTTTGAGGAGTTCGTCATCCCCTTTCTGTATTCTGCTTCTAGGGCTACTTTTATAGAGTGACATCACTTTTGTAAAAGAAACATGACTTTTCATGATGTCCTAGTTTGTCCAACTCTGATTCCAGAGCTATTGGAGTATCTACTGTGTGGCAAGTGGTGTGTGGGGCTAAGGACACACAGAGTAAGGTGCAGTCCCGAGTCTCAGGAACCTCAGCCAGCCAGGACAGACAGACACAAGGACAAACCGCCTGTTACAAAATGTGACACAGTGGGGACATAGGTGGTGAGCCGACCAAGCGCTATGGGGAGAAGAAATAAGGCAGCAATGAATTCTGCTATGGGGCAGGAAAGGATTCCAATAGGTGACAGTGAAACCCGGCCAGGAAGCACACATCCCCCATCAGGAGCACACAGTCTGCGGTTCCCTTCCAGCCACTCCCAGAGCTGTCCATCTTGTGAGGCAACAACTAACCATCCCTAGCTCTGCCCTAGTCTTTGAAGAAGCTCATCCGGTTTTCCCCACCCCACAGATCCAGATTTCTAGATCACAAACAGAAATACTCAGAGGGGCAATCAACATTTATTTGAGCATTTGCTTTGTGCCAGTTAATGAGCTAACCACTTCCTGTGCCTAATCTCACTGGATCCTCAGGCATGAACTAATTATTATCCCCAGTTTACAGGGAAACTGAAGCTGAGAGATTAAGCAATTTGCCAAAGGTCACAGAGCTGGTAAGAGTTAAAGGAGGTGTCAAAACCAAGTATAACTCTAAACCTATGCACTTGGCCAACTAACCTGTTTCTATGCCAGCTGCTGCAGAAACAGAAGAAACCTCATCTCCCTTCCAGGTAACTCCTCTCACAGCAGCAAAGTTAGCATCAAGGAAAGATGACAAGGGACCGCAGTGTCAGGAGCCTGGTTTGACTCTCAGGTCTCCACTGACCAGGACTTCACAAAGGGCTTCATCTCCCAGAACCCCAGTTTCACTGGAAAATAAGAAGTTCAAAATAATACCTAACACCCATGCGGATGTTACAAGGCTAACAAAAGGCAGTGTACGAGCTAGGGCTTCATCAGTGTCTGCAAGGGCTGTGGTGTGCGGCGACGGAAACCTAGCTCCCCACCACCCTGTCCCGCTCTCCGTCACATTTGGAAAGGCAAGAGCTAAACAGAGAAAGGAAGACTGAAAAAAGAAAGAAGTTACCAGAAAGAGAACACAATAAAGGACGGGCTTTTGTGGGTCCTTGAGTACCTATACATAATGGGATGGAATTCTAGCTCCTGACCACCAAAGTGTAGTCTACCTGCCAATAGTGTTGGCATCATCACCCCCGGGAGCTTGTCAGAACGGAGGCTCTCGGGCCTGACCGCAGACCTACAGAAGCTGAAACATTTTAACAAGAGCCCCGGGTGACAATACTGAAATGAATGTTATATCTCATTGGATAGTTTGAACTGCATGAGTCAGAAGCTGTAGAAAGGACTCAACAAAGGATTTTTTAAAATTATAAAATAAAAACAAAGCTTAAGGGTGCCAGAGTGGCTCAGTCCGCTGAGTGTCCATCTTTGGTTTAGGTGCTGATCTCAGGGTCCTGGGATCGAGTCCTGAGTGGGCTCCCTGCTCAGTGCAGAGTCTGTTTCTCCCCCTCGCCCCCGACCCCTACCCCTCCCCACTGTTCAGTGCTCTTTCTCTTTCTCAAATAAATAAATAAAATCTTTAAGGAAAAAAAAAAAAGCTTAAAAATGCTCTAGGCCTAAGTTAATGTATGTACACCAAACAAAAAATGGCAAACCCTGATATCAGTTCAGGACTGCATACTGTGAATACAATTTTTAAATAAGTCAGTACAAACTATAGCAGGGCCGACCCTTCTTAGAAGAGAAAAACCAGCAAAGTTTTCTCAGCAAGGAAACTGTAAGAATGAGACTACCTGCTCAACCTGCGTCACAGGGTTAAATCCAACAGAATATGGGAAGGACCCTAAACTGGAAAAAAAGCTGTGTGCATGAATATGAGAATTCTCTTTGAACTGAAAGTTGCCTTCAGATCATATTACTGGCATAAAACTGAAGGGGGGGGCAGGAACCTAATTCAGACAACCTAATAGTCTCCCCAATTGCAATTCTAATTGCCCAAATAAATGTGCTTGCTTAAAAACCAAATTTTTTAAAAAACTGAAGAAGGCAAAGCAATCTTTTATGAGAAGTATAAAAAACAGGATGAGAGCAAGAACAAGAGAGAAGAAACCAGGCTTACTGGAGTTAAGGGCACCAGCAGTTGACTCATAAGCACAGGGCACAGAAAAATCCAGCAAAGGGAAAACTAGTATGGGTCTGTCTCAAGGAAACAGCAATCACACCACGCAATGAGTTCCACTCACAGAGAAGTGAGCCATACACGTATGGCACTCACCCAGCAGGGCCGCCACTATGCCCACCAGCCCGGTGCCGGCACCCAGCTCCACAGCAGAGCAGCCCCGGAGCTCCACAGCTCCCATCTCCAGATACGTGCAAAGAACGACAGCCTGAGTCAAAGCACAGCGGGATGATTCAAGTCAACAAGTGGTTTAGGAGCCCATTTCAGGTAGACTTCCCACTAGCAGGAAGACATCACACACCCCTCTCCCCCCTGCAAGGTTCCAGTCCCAGTTTAGCAACAACAGGCAGAAACTCAGCTGCTGCTGGGAGGTGACCCCCTAAATCAGGCACAGACACTGAGGCCTCAGGCCCCACAAGATCCCCCCTGAGGACAGTAGGGTCAAGGACACACTGCCCACACAACACAGGGTGCTGCTGCGCGTGGCAAGTTTAATTACTGTCTGGTATATGAATTGTATCTCACTATAAAGCTGTTATTAAAAATAAGTAAATAAAGTGCAGTCATATCATCAGTTGCAGTGGTCTTCAGAGGCCCAGGGGTGTACTTACGGCGTCCCACACCACGGCTGCGACTCCCAGCTGTCTCCAGTCCTGCCGGATCTGGATGGTGTGGTTGGCAAAGGAGAAGGTGGCTAGAGGCTTGTGGAATTTCTGCAAGCCCACTCCCGCTGTCTCCTCATAGGGCACCAGGGCCATTTCGCCTGCACTCCGCTCTCTGCTCCCTCAAAGCTGTCGGGCAAAAGAAGCCTGCGTGACGCTCTGGCCAGAAAAAAATGCACTCTCCTAAGTAGCCCCAAATGCTTTTTAAGGCCATTTTTTTTACAGGTTCAAAAGAAGACAACAAAGGGGGCGGGGCGGGCGGGGGGCTTTGTCTAATTCCTTTCCGCATGGCTCATCCTCTTCTGGGAAGGGAGATTCCGTTCTGAAGCACGCACACCCGTACCACTCCCGCAGGATGCCCTAGGCACTCCGCGGTCACCACCGGGTGAACTGGGGCCGCGGTAAGAGCGAGCGCAGAGGGGCTGCTGGCCTCGGCCTCGGTGAAAGTAGTGCTTTCTACACCGTCCGGGCCCGTCTGGACCGCGGCTGCCACTCGCGGCGGTCGGCAGGAGAGTGTTCGCTGCTTCGTTTCGGTCTTCCCTCCACCCCCTCTAAATTCAGCGCGTTCAACAGCGACAGCCCCGGGCCCAAAGCTGCACTTGGACTGAGGGTTAACGGTTTGGTCATCCGGCTTTCTGACACGGTCGCAGTTCCATCTCGCCCGGACTGGAAGTGAAAGACACTCGTGAGCCCCGAGTCGCGGACGGGGAGAGCAGGAGCCCGGGTCCAGGGCGGGCTCGGGCGTCCGCGGCTCAGAGGCCTGCCCGGAGTCCCCAGAACCCGCCCAGTCCCCTCCAAAGGGTCCAGGTACGCACTCGCTTCCGGCGGGCCCCAGAGCTCCGGGAACCCACGGGGTGGGCGTGGGGGGTTGGAGAGGGACCCCCCCGCCCAGCCACGCCGGACGCGCCCCGCCCCGGGAGTGCCGCCCACTTCCCCAGCCCAGGCCGCCCGGAAGCGGGGCCGGCGACGCGGCGGGGCCCGAGGTGGGCCTCGCTTCTACTTACTGCCGGGGAGCCGGCCCCGCGTGGCGCGCCTCGCTTTCCCCGCCCCGAGCGCGGCCGCCGCCGACGCAGCCACCCGCCTTAAAGGGCTGGGAGCGGGGAGCCGGGAGCCTCGAGCCGGCGGGGGTGGGGCGGCGGGGGTGGGCGGTGCGCGCGCCGGGAGACACGCGTTTCCGGTCCCTCCTACCCCGGACAGGTGCCCCGCGGCGCACAGGGTCGCAGGTGTGCGGGGCGCGCGCTGGAGGAGGACGCTGAGGGAGAGGACATCCGGCCTCCCTCCGGGGGGGGGGTCCCCGAGGTTCCCGGTCCGCCCAATCAGTTTCCGGGACTCGGAGAGCAGCGTGGGCGGGGAGCCAGAGGCGAGCGAGGTGCTGAGTCGCGGGTAGGTGCGCGGAGAGGGCGCGGGGGTGCCCTGGCGAGGTGAGAGGGAGCCCACCAGGCTGGCGGGGGAGGCGTTCTCCTGCTGGTTCCACTTTTATGTCCGTGAGCTGGTTCTCAACCCTCCCCGACCCGTGTATGTGTGTGTGGTTTTTTTTCTAGTTTGTACGCTGGCCTGTTTTCAGTGTTAAAGGTCACGAATTAGCAGGTGTAGACAAAAGCTTGCTCCGAAGTAGACATGGTCACTTATTCGTCCTCTCGACACCAGGGTAAGTCCGAATTGGTGTAATCGCCACTTGGTGGCAATAGAGTAGGAAAAGTGACAAAGCCCTTGTCAGCTACAGCGCGAACTCGGAGCCGCACCCTGCGCCCGGGACTCGATCGTGAAAAGAGTCCCGCGGGGCCGGGGGCGCGGGATGTGGCCCCACACCTAGTGCGGGGCGGTTGCCGCAGACCCAAGGCCCTAGCGTCCCTCCAGGAGGGCCGACGGTTGGTTCACCTGCCTCGGGACCCCTGTGCTTGACGCCAGAGCCACTGACCCAAGCTGCCGGCCCTTAGAAGGCGCGGCTGGAGTGAGCAGCCCACCGCACGACCCCGCGGGGAGCGGCGTCCGCCTCTCTGAGAAAGTTTCCTTTGCTTCCTGACCCCCAGTTCCTCCCCCACGTGCCGCCGCTCGGTCCCGGGAATTCTCAGCCCCGGCTGCGTGTTAGAATGCACGCGAGCTATTTTCAACTCCCCCGGCCTGGACTCTGCCCCTGGGAAGTCTCCGTTGGTGTGAGGCGACCCGAGCATTGGTATTTTTCAGCGCTTCCTGGTAATTCCCTTTTGCCACCTGCTGTAGGGGCCGGAGGCCAAGCCTGAACCCCGCCTCTACTCGCCTCTTCCCGCCTGCAGGGGGCGTGCCGGCCTCTCTGCACACCTCAGCCTTCCAGAGGAAGGGGGGGCTGCAAAGGAGACTTGATCAACTTAATAGATCGGCAGCGAAGTTCTTTTACTTTTTTTTTTTTTTTTGCTCGGTTCATTTATTTTTATTTTTAAAAATTTGTGTAATAGAATTTATTTTTAGAGCAGTTTTAAATTCACACCAAAATTGGGAAGAAGGTACAGAGATTTCACATTCACTTCCTGCTCCAACACCCGCATAGCCTCTGCCCATGATCAGTAACCCCCCATCAGAGTGGGACATTTGTTACAACCGATGAACCTACACTGACACATCATTATCACCCCAGGTTTATCTTGGGATTCATTCTTGGTATTGAGCATTTTATGAGTTTGGACCAATCTATAATGGCATTATACCCACCATAATAGCATCATACAGAGATGGGGCCCCTCCCTAAAAATCCCATGTGCTCCACCTAGTCCTCTCCCTCCCTCTGCCATAACCACTCATCTTTTTACTTAGACCCTTTGGGTCCATACCAAAGACTGTGATTACTGAATCTTACAGCAAAAGTATATTGAGTTTTGTAAGAAACCACCAGACTGTCTTCCAAAGTGGCTGTACCATTTTTTGCATTTCCACCAGCAATGAATGAGAGTTTCTGTTGCTCCACATCCTTGTCCATACTGGGTGTTGTGAGTGTTTTTAAGTTTTAGCCATTATGGTAGGTGTGTATTAGTTGTTTTAATTTGCAGTTCCCTAGTGACATATGATGTGGAGCATCTTTTCATATGCTTATTTGCCATCTATATATCTTCTTTAATGAAGTGTCTGCTAAGTCTTTGGCACATTTTTTTATTTTATTTTATTTTTTTAAAGATTTTATTTATTTGACAGACAGAGATCACAAGTAGGCAGAGAGGCAGGCAGAAAGAGAGAGAAGGAAGCAGGGTCCCCGCTGAGCAGAGAGCCCAACGCGGGGCTCGATCCCAGGACTGTGGGATCATGACCTGAGCCGAAGGCAGAGGCTTTAACCCACTGAGCCACCCAGGCACCCTGGCACATTTTTTTAGATCTTTATTTAAATTCAATTAACATATAATGTATTATTAGTTTCAGAGATAGAGGTCGATGATTCATCAGTCTTATCTAACACCCGGTGCTCCTTATGTCACATGCCTTCCTGAATGTCCATCACCCGGTCACCCCATTCCCTCCACCCCCTCCCCTCTAGCAATCCTCAAGTTTCCTATGATTAAGAGTCTCTAACAGTTTCTCTCCCTCTCTGATTGCTTCTTTATTTTTTCCTCTCTTCCACTATGATCCTCTATTTTGCTTCTTAAATTGTACATATGACTGAGATCATATAATTGTCTTTCTCTGATTTACTTATTTCACTTAACATAATACCCTCTATTCCATCCATGCCATTGCAAATGGCAGGATTTCATTTTTTGATGACTGCATAATATTCCATTGTGTCCCTATACCACATTTTCTTTATCCATTCATCTGTCGATGGACTTCTGGGCTCTTTCCATAGTTTGACTATTGTGGATATTGCTGCTATAAACACTGGGGTGCAGGTGCCCCTTCAAATCACTACATTTGTATATTTGTGGTAAATACCCAGTAGTGAGATTGCTGGGTCATAGGGTAGCTCTATTTTCAACATTTTGAGGAACCTCCATATTATTTTCCGGAGCACCTGCACCAGCTTACATTCCTACCAACAGTGTAGGACGGTTCCCCTTTCCCCGCATCCTCGCCAACCTGTTATTTCCTGACTTGTTCATTTTAGCCATTCTGACTAACGTGAGGTGGTATCTCATTGTGGTTTTGATTTGTATTTCCCTGATGCTGAATGATGTTGAGCACTTTTTCATGTGTCTGTTGGGCATCTGGATGTCTTCCTTGCAGAAATGTCTGTTCCTGTTTTCTGCCCGTTCCTTGATTGAATTATTTGTTCTTTGGGTATTGAGTTTGATAAGTTCTTTATAGATTTTGGATACTAGCCCTTTATCTGATAAGACATTTGCAAATATCTTCTCCCATTCTGTTGGTTGTCTTTTGATTTTGTTGATTGTTTCCTTTGCTGTGAGTAAAAGCTTTTTATCTTGATGAAGTCCCAATAGTTCATTTTTGCTTTTGCTTCCCTTGCCTTTGGAGACGTATCTAGCAAGAAGTTGTGCCGAGGTTACAGAGGTTGCTGCCTATGTTCTCCTCTAGGATTTTGATGGCTTCCTCTCTCACATGTAGGTCCTTCATTGATTTTGAGTCTATTTTTGCTTATGATATATGGTATAGATATTCTTCTCCATGTGGCTGTCCGATTTTCCCAACACCATTTGTTAAAGAGACTGTCTTTTTTCCAGTGGACATTCTCTCCTGCTTTGTTGAAGATTAGTTGACCATAGAGTTGAGGGTCCATCTCTGGGCTCTCTATTCTCTTCCATTGATCTGGAACACATAGTCTATTTTTGTGCCAGTACCATACTGTCTTGATAATGACAGCTTTGTAATAGAGCTTAAAGTCTGGAATTGTGATGCCGCCAGCTCTGGTTTTCTTTTTCAGCCTTTTTTAGCTACTCGGAGACTTCTCTGGTTCCATACAAATCTTGGGATTATTTGTTCCAGCTCTGTGAAAAAAGTTGATGGTATTTTGATAGGGATTGCATTGGATATATAAATTGCTCTAGATAGCATAGACATTTTAACAATATTTGTTCTTCCAATTTATGAGCATGTAATGTTTTTCCATTTCTTTATGTCTTCCTCAATTTCTTTCATGAGTGTTCCCCATTTTTCTGAGTACAGATCCTTTGCTTCTTTGATTAGGTTTATTCCTAAGTATCTTATGATTTTTGGTGGCCCCTTTTTTTGAGTCCTATTTTAATTTCCAGCTGTATTGAGATATAATTGACATATTTAAGTTTAAGGTATATAATGTCATGATTTGGTTCATGTATATATTGCAAAATTGTTATAATAAAGTTAGTTATCACATCTATCATCTCACATAATTATAATTTGTATGTGTATGCATGTGTGTAGTAAGAATATTTAAGGTCTACTTTCTTAACAACTATCAAGTATATGATATGGTACTGTTAACTATAATCACCATGCTGAATATTAGATTCCTAGAACTTATACATCTTATAACTGTAAGTTGTACCCTCTGAACAACATCTTGTCATTCCCCCACCCCCAGCTCCTGGCAACCACCATTGTATTCTGTTTCTATGAATTTATTTTTTTTAAAGATTTTATTTATTTAATTGACAGAGATCACAATTAGGCAGAGAGGCAGGCAGAGAGAGAAGGGGAAGCAGGCGAGCCCGATGTGGGGCTCAATTCCCGGACCCTGAGATCATGACCTGAGCCGAAGACAGACGCTTAACCCACTGAGCCACCCGGGTGCCCCTCTATGAATTTAGCTTTTTAAAAAATAGATTCCACATAGGGGTGCCTGAGTGGCTCAGTAGGTTAAGCATCCAACTCTTGGTTTCAGGTCAGGTCTGCTCTCAGGATAGTGAGATTGAGCCCAGCATCAGACTCTCCACTGGGTGTGGAGCCTGCTTAAGATTCTCTCTCTCCCTCTCTCCCTCTCCTCATCCCATGCCTGCTCATTCACTCTCTCTAAAAATATAGATAGATTCCACATATAAGTAAGATCATATAATATTTGTTTAGCTTCTTTTGCTTAGCATAGGACCCTTGGGATCCAACTACGTTGTTGCCAATGGCAAGATTGCCTTCTTTTTAATGGCTTAATAATATTCCAACGTATATTTGTATGTCTATGATATGTATTATATGATATATATGAGATATATCACCCCACACACCACATTTTCTTTATCCATTCATCTGTCAATGGGACTAGGTTGTTTCCTTGTCTTGGGCATTGTAAATAATGCTGTAGTCAAAGATCATGAGGGTATAGGTATCTTTTCGAGATAATGATTTCATTTCCTTCAGATATAAACTCAGAAGTGGGATTACTGGATCATATGGTAGCTCTATGTTTACTTTTTTGAGGAATTTCTATAATGTTCATACTGTTTTCTATAGTGGCTATACCAAATTTTATCCCACCAACAGTGTACTAGCAT